AACACCGGAAGTTTTTAAGAAAATGTTGGATAACCATTTGTCTGAAGTGGTGTAGGGTTTCCTACCTAGGCAGGGGGTTGGACTAGAAGACCTCCAAGGTCCCTTCAACTCTGTTGTTTTGTTCTGTTCTGTAATAGGAAAGGTGGGATTGAAAAACTGCCAAAAATGATTTTTCTATCATTCCAAGGGCTCCCTGAATCAGGGAAACAGAAAGGTAGAGAGATTAATATTTTGAAACCTACCAGACTGTGTAAAAAAAGGCTTCTGCTTCTGGAACAAGAATTTCTGGTCTTCTTTTACGTCATAACAAGCTCTCCCTCCACATCTGCTCTGAAATTTCACTTAACTCTCCAGGATGTATTTTGAGGATGGACAGAGAGATTGTATTGGAAGGGAAACGAAATGTTATTCATTCCACACACAATAAGCTGGTTGAATAATTAGTTTTTCTCGAGAAATGTGGAAACCTGAGACCAGGGAATTTCTAGCACTCTGTTTGCCCCACGCAGTGCTTCAGTTTTGGGGAAAGAATCAACAAAAGTTGAAGTGGTATAAAACCAATATGTTTTATACCACAACTGTTGTAGGTTGACTGGTAAAATACATCAACGTTGACATGTCTGAGCATTTTGGACATTCCCACTATAGTCAGACCTGCAGATGCTCTTTTCTCACAAGATCTTTTCCACTGCCATTTGGCATTCTGTCTCTGAGCCCACCTAGAATCAAGAAATACAGCTCCATCTCACAACTATTTTGGCTGCCTGCTAGCTTAAAGAAAGTTGGTGGAGGAGAAATAATAAGTTCCCGGAATTGGCCATGGTCTTCAATTTGGGCAGAAGAGCTTGAGAGGAACCTGAAGGTGCTGCTGGTGCTCAGCATACCAAATATTTGGAACACACCAGAACTGCCTATCTTGCATGACATAAACAGATGAGATACAAGAAGCCGATGTGCTTAATTCCACATCACAATCACAGCTGGGAAAAGGGAACACATGAAATCATATCTCTCCTTTAATTACCTGCCCATGATAAAGATTTAATGTGCCTCAAAGGTTCTCTTTTTATTTAATTGGTTCAGGAACTTTACATATTCAATTCTAGTCCTCATAGGTAATTAGTTCTCTGAGGTAATTAAACAGAAAGAGAGAGAGAGTGTGTGTGTGTGTGTGTGTGTGTGTGATTTTTCCCCAAACCACGCTAGAAGCGTTGGGGTATATACCAGTGATTTGAAAGTAAGTCTGCAATTTTCAAATTAAACACTCAGTCCAATTCGTAATGGAAATATAACTTCTGAAATCATCTTTTTAATTGTCATTAAATAGCTCATAAATTAAGCTCATAACTTAATTTTTTTTGAATGACGCATTTAAAAATGATTCACAGCTCATTTGATTTAATGGACTCCAAATTATGGGAAACATATGTGACATCCTTGTTACATCTGTTTTGGTGACCAAAGCTGTCTCCTCAGGATACAACATTTAAGGATAACACTTTTAGTAATTAGATTAGGAAAGTTTAATAAAGGGGTTAGTAAACTGTTACCCTTGAGATTTTAGATTGTAACTCCTATCAAGTTTAGATGCATGATGAGTGACAAGAGATTATGGTAGTTGTAATCCAAATACATGTGGAAAGAAAGCTAATCTACAGTATTGCCTCCCTCTCAGGTAATATGTTTTGGGTATGGAAATTCAGACAATGGCAACCTGAGCCATAAAGGTCCTCATAGTGATAACCAGCACCTCAAATTGGACCCAGAAGCCTATTGGCAGATCAGCAGAGGTTATTTTACATTCCACAGATGGACAGTTGTTTTTTGCATTAGATGCAGTTTTCAGATGACCTCCAAGGGCAATTTCATGTAACTAAATTCCTGTAGTTTAGTCAGGGGCCAATGACAAAGGCATGAATCACTGTTGTCAACATCTCCTGGTCCAGGAAAGGCCAAAGCTATCAAAGACTCTCTTGGCCATATGCTGTACCAAGAATGATGGGAGTCCAGAAGAAGCCTCAATTGTATATGCGCCTCATAGAGGAAAGTACAGATAATCCTTGATTTACAATCACTCATTTACCAACCATTCAAAGTTATAACTGCACTGAAAAAAGTTACACAATCGTTTTTCACTTACGGGTGCTGCAGCATCCCTATGGCTTACATGATCAAAATTTGGGCACTTGGCAACTGGCATGTATTTATAATGATTGTAGCATTCTGGGATTATGTAGATAACCTTTTGTGACCTTCTTTATAAATAAAGTCAATGAGGAAGCCAGATTCGCTTAACAACTGTGTTACTAACTTAACAACTGCAGTGACATCGCTTAACAATGGTGGCAAGAAAGGTTGAAAAATGGGGAAAAACTCAATTAACAACTGTCTTGCTTACCAACAGAAATTTTGGACTCAATTGTGCTCCTAAGTCAAAGATTACCTGTGCAACTTTGTCAAGAATTATGCATGAAACATTCTGGTCTTGCCACGATTTAATCTCACTCTGTTCCAGAATTATAATTTGGATGAATTTGGGTGCATGGGGTCCAACAGCTCCTTCTGTAATTTAAATTCTTAAACTCCTACACTGAATGGGTGTCAATGGGCCTATCAATTCTTTGATAGTGCAGCCGTCTGTAAGCATGGTTTATTGTAAACATTTTGTTCAATCTATCAAGCAAGTTTTAGTAATTGCTACTCTTCCCCCCCAGATGAGAAAAGTGTCTCTCACTAGCAATGTGCAAGAAATTCCACTACTAGTAGGATCAGACCTTGACATTTGAATTTGATGTTAATGTACAGTTCTTACCAATGCAACTTTTTGTTAACGTATTCAAGTCAGTTTTCGACTCCTTGCAACTGACCTGATTAGTTCATGCAGTTTTCTTGACAAGGTTTTTCACCTCCTTCATAGAGCTAAGAGTGATTGGTATGAGGTAGCCCAGCCCCTATGTGCCTAAGGAGGGACTAGGACTTGGTTTCTAGCCTGATGGCTTAACCACTAACACCAAACTGGCACCTTACTAATTGCACCTTGTAAGATGAAATGGAAAAGTAAGAAAGGTGGTACAATGCAGAAGGCAGATGATGATGCTTTAAGGATAGGCTGGTTCTAGGCTAAAGGACCCTTCCTCCTATCATCAGTTGTTTAACCTCACCCTTCCCAAGAAGCCCTAGGCACATCGCTATGCTATCTGGAGACAGAATTTTTTTTGGGGGGGTCATATTTAAATGGATGCCCATTTGATGGACAAGATACTCTGGTTGGTGTACAACAAAGGCAAAATTAAAAGAAAAAAAAATATGGGAAAGAGAAATGACAGATGATGATGCATATGCTTCATGTCTTTCTCTCTAGCTCAGTCTCCCTGACCGCATTAGTGAGTGGGCTGAACGTCGAATCTACTTTTTCAGGATCCTTTAACACTTTCACTGATCTTGAATGTGGCAAGGATTGGTCAAATGAGCCTGATCCTTTGCCTAAGTGTGAGAAAAGCATGTGGACAAGAGGGTAGAGTGGCCATTGTCCCAAAAGTGTTTTTCCAGAGGCAACTGGACTTTCTGATTTTTCTTTGAAGGCATTTTTCTTCTCATCCAAGAAGCTTCTTCAGCTCCAGAAATGAAGAAGCTTCTTGGGTGAGAAGCGAAACATCTTCAAAGAAAAACCAGAAAGCCCAGTTGCCTGTTGAATAATAGCAGTAGACTTATATACCGCTTCATAGGCCTTTCAGGCCTCTCTAAGCGGTTTACAGAGAGTCAGCATATTGCCCCCAACAATCTGGGTCCTCATTTTACCCACCTCGGAAGGATGGAAGGCTGAGTCAACCCTGAGCCGGTGAGATTTGAACCGCTGAACTGCTGATCTAGCAGTAGCCTGCAGTGCTGCATTTAACCACTGCGCCACCTTGGCTCTTAAGGTGCTGAAAAAGCACCTTTGAGACAACCATGACCTGGATGATCGAGGATCTTGACAGATATAGAGGGGCCATTCCAGAGGTGGTATTCAGCAGGTTCTGATCAGTTCTGGAGAAGCGGAAATTTTGAATGTTTCTGAGAACCAGTAAATACCACCTCTGGCTGACCCCCGGCCCCATTTATTCTCTGCTTCCCGAGTCCCATCTGATCAGGAGGAAATGGGGATTTTGCAGTAACCTTCCCCTGGAGTGGGAAGGGAATGGAGATTTTACAGTATCCTTCCCCTGCCATGCCCACCAAGCAATGCCACGCCACAGAACCGGTAGTAAAAAAAAATTGAATCCCACCACTGGCATTGCTGCCTGCACAAACATATTATTTCTACCTTTGCGATGAGACCCATTTTCACCTCTGTAGTTTAAAATTATTATTTTGATAGGAGACTGTTCCCTTCTCCAGTACTGCTTTCATGATCAGGAAGGACTCCACTTCAATGTATGCATTACACTCAGAGATGCACCTATATCTTAATACGTGAAATGTAATGCTTATTTGCATTCACACCTTTAGGACACTGGATCCAACCATACCCTAGAAATGCCCGACGGAACCAATATAAATATATTTGCAGACCTTACGATCAACCCGCAAAGTCCGTTCCCTCCAACTGCACCCCCTTCCCTCTTCTTTCCACCAAGCTGCGCCCGAGGCGAGAGTAGCCTGACGCAATCCTCTGCCTCTGTTTCCCTCGAAAGCTCCTCGGCGAGTTGCATCATCTGGTTTTTGAGACAGCGTAGAAGAGAAAAACCAATGAGCGGGCGCCTTTTGCTCATCTGTGACAGAGGGCTTTGACCAATCCGATCTTCGTAAGCCTTTCCCCAGGCGGGACTATTTGCTTCCTAAAGCGCTGATTGGATAAGAGACGGCGGGAACAGGGATACCGTGACAACTGGGCGGGGCCTTACCGGCAAGCTGGTATTTAAACGCTGAAGACCTCGGCAGCAGCGCAGTTCTCCCTCTTGTTTTGTGTCGGAGTCTCGGTCGCCGTCTCTTGCGCCAAATCCCAGGCTAGCCGAGCTTAATTTTTCGGTTCAGTCTATTCCCGGAGATCAGAGCCACCAGCGCACCTCCTCCTGCGGAGTCATGAAGGGGGATCCACATCCTCGGCATCTCTCCAGCGGAACGGAGCATCCCTCCAGGCTTCAGAAGGACGAGGAGGAGGAAGAGGAGGAGCCCTCTGGTACAGAGGAAGGGTCGCCCAAGTCCCCACTCTGGGTCTTCGGTTACGGTTCGCTGGTTTGGAGACCCGATTTCGAATTCACTTCCCGCAAAGTGGGCTGTATCCGGGGCTACAGCCGCCGCTTCTGGCAAGGAGACACTTTCCACCGGGGTAACGAAAAAATGGTAAGGGCTGTTTTTTCCCAGGTGGGACTCAGTGAGTGGGAAAGGACAATGCCTGGTCCCGAGTTGTTGTTTTTTAAGGGGTGAGGAGGTGCTTTTCCTGAGATGAGAGGTCCCTTCTATGTAGAGTGGGAGGGATGGTGGGTGGGGCTGGAAAATAAGAGATAAACCAAGAATTTGTTGTATTTCGGAGTATTAAGAGTTAGAAATTGTAGGTTCAACAGATAGGGAGTCTATTGATTACCCTTTGCTTGACATGGTTGTGCAGAATTTAAAGAGCCTCCCACATTTAGTTTTTAATGCTGAGGGAGTAGGGAATTTCTGGGCTGCCCCAATGATGCTTCCTTGTGCTTCTGATGTTGGTCTGCAAAAGAGTACAGTGCTGCATATTAAAACTGCCTCTTTCTCTCCCTTCCCTTAGCCTGGAAGAGTGGTTACCCTTCAGGAAGATTATAATGTAAGTATTTTGTGCCTGCATTCTTAACCAGTTGGCATGCTTATCAATAGCCTAATCCTAATCCAGTGGTAGTCAACCTGGTCCCTACCGCCCACTAGTGGGCGTTCCAGCTTTGATGGTGGGCAGTAGGGGTTGCTGTAACTCTGCTTTATAAATTTTATAAAGTAAAGTTACTTCCCTACTTTATAAATCACCATTACTGTGGAACCGGTGGGCGGTTAGAAAATATTACTACTAACAGAGATATAAAAATGGGCAGTAGGTATAAAAAGGTTGACTACCCCTGGCCTAATCAGAGGGAGGGAGGGGAGAAGTCTTAAAACAAAGTAATTACAGGTAGTCCTCAATTTACGACCACAAGCGAGCCAAAAATTTATGTTGCTAAGTGAGAAATTTGTTAAGTGAGGTTTGTCCCATTTTATGACTTTTCGCCCCACATTTGTTAAGCGAATCACTGCAGTCATTGAATTAATAATATGGTTTTTAACTGAATCTGGTTTCCCCATTGACTTTGCTTGTCAGAAGATTGCAAAAGGTGATCACATGACCCTGGGATACTGCAACCGTCATAAATGTGAGTCAGTTGTCAAGCATCCAAATGTAAATCACATGATCATGGGGATGCTGCAACAGTTATAAGTGTGAAAAATGGTCATAAATCACTTTTTTCAGTGCCATAACTTTAAAAGGTCACTATGCGAACTGTTGTAAGTCAAGGACTACCTATATTTTGAACTACCCACCTTGTTTAGCTGTAGGAGAAAGATGGAGAGTGAATTGTATCATTGCAACTAGAGGTTCTGTAATTCTGTTACTTGACCTGCAGCAATTATAATTATCCAATTACGTATCATTTGGATGAGTGGTTATTTGGTCAGTAGAGTACTGCTTATCTAGGAAACCAGCCAATGTTTGTGAGTACAATTTAAATGATATCTGAATGAAACTGAGATCTTGACAATTTTGGAGATGATAATGTAACACTGCTGAAAAGAATTCGGCACATGGCCAAGATACTGTGGGTTATGCTGGCCCTTTTGCAAAAGTTAATGGTATTAATTGCTGTGGGGCAACTCATTTGGAAGGAATGAGTAGCTATTTCAAACCTGTGTTTATTTTTTAATCACAAACCTGACTTTTTGCCTAACTGACCTGATAATGTTTAGAAATGTGATGAAATATGGCAGATAACATTTTTTAAAGTTTGTCATTTGCTTGTTTGCATATGTTGTGGAGATAAGTAATTGTCTATTTAATGAAGCAGACATCTGTAAGTAACTTGTAATTTGATTTCTGATTGCAGGGGTGCACGTGGGGTGTTGGCTATGAACTTCACGGGCTTCAAATTGCTGCTGTCCTTAAATATCTGAACATGCGGGAAGCCGTGCTTGGAGGCTACGACACCAAGCTGGTGAAGTTTTATCCCCAGGAAGGAGAGGCAGATGAACCTGTTCTAGCTCTTGTTTATATTGCGACCCCCCAGAATCCCTCCTATCTGGGGCCAGCATCTGAAGAGGATATTGCAGCTCAAATCATCGTCTCCAGTGGGCGGGCCGGCCACAACATTGAGTACCTTCTGCGGCTGGCAGACTTCATGCGCTACTGTTGCCCTCAAGTAGAAGATGAACATTTGTTCTCGATTGAGGAAGCTCTGATCTCTATCCTGCCCTGTATATATCCTGCTGAGGAGCCCTTGGTACAACAATGAATCTGACAGTATTCACCAAAGTGAAATTGGATGAACACTTTTTAACCAAGGACGATATACATGAACTAATGCAACTGAAGTCAGGTTTTAAAACCTGTACATGTAGACCTTGGGAGAGAAAAGTAGTGGAGGCACGGTAGTAGCACTACAATTTAAGTAGCATTGGACTCTAGCCCCATTTCTAGCCTTGAGTAGAGATTGGAGAGAGACCCATTGCTATTCTACCAGCTGCTGGTGATACAAAGCTGGTTGAAAAATACTTCCTAGTCTCATTTGTATACTCGACAGATTACGTCCTAAATTTAATAGGGCTTTTACTTTAGAGTTCATGCAAGTGGGGCTGTTGCTGTTTGCACTTTTAGCCAAATTAACAGTGTTCTTTGAATTGTCGAAGGGAAAGGGGGATTAAGATAAACTATGCTTTTCTTTGCATGTTTCCATCCAAAGCCATGACGATAATGCTATGAGCTTTGCTCTACCTCACAAGCTGATGCTGCACATGTGAAGTTGTGATGGTTTTCAAAAGTTCCTCCAACCCTGGTCATGGTATCCTCATGTTTGCTCACATGCTGGGCTTTTTAGTGGCAAATGAACTTTGATTTTAAACTTTGGTGGGGCCAAACCTCCTTAGGCAGTTAGTGTACTATTTTTTTTTATAACTTGAAAATGTATTTATTGTAATGAAGTGTCCTGCAGAGCAGGGCAGATTGCTAGCTTGGAAGGTGGCAGGGGAAATTGGGTCTTCTGGTTTTAGATTTTTTTCCTCTCTCTTAGACAGACAGATGGGAGCTTCAGACCAGGGCAGCTGCTACAAGGTTACTCGTTTGAGACAGCTTTCGGTTAATAGAAGTGTTGCACTACCTACACACAATAGAGACGCTTTTACCTTACAATAATCTTTTGTGTCAGTTTATGTAACTTGGCATACTATGCTCAAGTTCTGCCTGCATTTCAAATAATAAAGTGGGCACTTAATGTCTGGTTCTCCCAAAATCACAAGAAATTCAACGTTTCTGAGAATAATGTGTGGAAATAAAGAAAGATCTGTGCTGAATAGTGTAGTCTGAAAGACACAATTCAATAAAGCCGATAAGAATAATTACTTTCTGATGCAGCCTTTGGGAGAGACTTCATCCTGGAATTTGTTTACAGATCTTAGAACAAAATGGACAACTACTGTTAAAAGGAATTGTATTATCTTTTATCTATAAATAAATGAGTCTGAAATTACATTGTTTGAACAGAATTTTTTTCTTTGGTTTTTTCCATTTAAACTATTAGAATTGTTTGTCATGGTTTTTTTTGTAACTGTATAGAAAAATGGAATTAGTTTAACTGCAGTTGTTGCAGTTACCTTTGTAGTGAATAACTGTCAATGTTTATGAAACTGTTTCCAAAGCTTTGCATCAGCAGTACCCAAGCCATAGCTTTACAATCCATTAGGTACAACTTCTGCAACTTCCTATAGTTTTTGTGAACAGGATGTAACTGAATCAGACAAAATGATTCTAGTTTTGAAAATCAGCATGGTCAAGTTTGCTTCTAGCTGCATCATCCCTAATGTGTCTATTAGGGCTGTGCAATGCTCTGGAGATTATTTGAAGGGTGCAAGCTTAAGTAGTACCTTCTTGAAACTTGGTAAAGCAGCTGCATCTTGTTCCAGAGTTGTGTAGCTCTTGTTGAAATAGTCTGCACTGCAGTAGCATAAATACATCTTTTTTATGCCGACTTTGGGCTCTCCAGATGTTTTAGAGTAGAGTACATCTGAACTTTCTAAATTGAAACCCGGAAGACTGATCAGAACTAGTGATGAAAACAGACTCCCTGTCCATGCGCTATAGCCTTTGGATCAAGCAACCACATTGTTGCTGTACAACAGTAACATCTACTGCATCATTCAGTCTTGGAGTTGTAGCTAATCCTCAAGCTCTTGGCTGAGCTGTGGCTGCTGGTTCATCACCTGCCCTTTCCAGATGTACAAGCAGTAGAGACAAAGCTGCCTCCTTCATGTGGCTGAAGGACCATTTGGACTTCCAATCACCATGGTAACTGGTAGCCATTCTGGTTAGGTATGATGGAAGAGTGGGGTTGAACTGAGGTTAGGCACACTGCTCAACCTCAATTGAGGTCTTCCGGAAGAAAAGAACCAATGGGTCACCTAGGGACATCTTACCCAAAGGATCGGACACGGGCAGGAAGTGGCATGGAGCCCTGCAAACAAAATAGAACCATCAATAACTTTTTATTCTCTAAAAAGGGCCCCCTCCTTTGCAGGGGTGTCAAAGTAGCGGCTCATGGCCACACAGGCCATGACCACTGCAGCTCTGCAAATGGGGTGGGGGGAAACATGAAACATCACGTGACAGCAACCTGACACCATGAGTTTGACATCGTGTTTTAGAGCTTTAATAAAAGAGTTTGGTTTCTTTGCAAAGTTTTTAGCATTTTGAATGATGGCGACAAAGACGGGAGCTGCTCAGAATGAGTAGCCGAGGTGGCGCAGTGGTTAAATGCAGCACTGCAGGCTATTTCAGCTG